ATAACAACCAAACATCCATCATTAGACATGAAAGAGGAAGTTGCTCTAACTCACACGAAGTCACAGGGCAAACCTACAGGCTACAGGTTGCTATCCCGTGTGCAAAAACAAAAGTTGTTTTCATAATTTCTTAGGTCAAATGTAATAGGGCAAACCTACAGGCTACAGGTTGCTACCCTGTGTGCAAACACAAATAAAAACAAAAGTTGTTGTTTTTTTAGATTCTAGGCTAACAAACAGTTTCCACATAATTTCTAAACTTATTTTGTTCATTACTTTATCAATTAAAAAAAAAGTCTATGTTGTGAAATCGTAGCTATCAAGGGGTTGGGGGGGCAGCTGTCCCTCAGGTATTTATACACTACAGTTGACGTAGACGGACCGCCACTCCTTAAAGAATCATGTACGGATAAATCTTTCCTCCTTCTGATTTGTAATAATAGCGGAAAAGCGTTACAAAAACAAAATGATGCACAGCATCCAACCAACACCTCGCCCTGGAGACTGAGCTGATGTCTGTGTACTGTAGCAGCACAGTACTCTGAGCTGCACATTAGCCTGACTCTCAGCTTCAGTGCATTATTCTGGGCAGCGTGGAGTCAGAGGATGAAACAGGAGACGGGTGTAGTCGAGATGTACGGCCTGCAGTGTGTGTGTGTGTATGTGTGTGTGAAACTACACTGAGAGGAGGGAGGCTCCGACAAACATGGAGGATCAATAAGAGGAGGAGAGACCAGGAGATGGAGAAGCAGGCGACAGAGGAGTGTTGCCAGAGAAATCTAACCTGAAACTGAGGCGCGTTAATTAATTTCAACACGTAGAAATTCCTGATGTAGACAGACATCGGTGATAAACGTTCACAACGACAGGCTGCACTGCTCTGCTCCTGGTCTGTGTGACTGCTGTAGGCCAGACTCTGATCTGGTGAGCAGTTATAAAGAATTGATAGTCAACTATTCCTGGAGCGTGTTTACACAGTGGTCTCTGCTCCTGCACACACTGCGACACACTCACACTTGTCCTTTTAAGGGGAATAAAGACGGAGGTCTGTGTTTGTCAGGAGAACTTTTCACTTCATCTGCTTCCACTGGGTTTAAATAGAGAGAAATGACGACATGTGGCGGAGTAGGACGCAGTGAATATTGTTTTCATTCTCCAAAGAGTCCAGCACACTCCACTTCATTGTAAATGCAAAGAGTGCAAATGTGGTTGGTATTTTTATAGCTTATTTGAATTTGCTCCAGCAGCATTTGACAGATATTGGTCAGCATCCATTATTTAAAAGGTCAAAATGATCCCTGAGATCAAACATCTCTTTTTCAAAGGATCTTTTTTTTTTTACCTGAGAATCTTCATGAAGCTGTTTACAAAGTTGTTGCATTTCAAATATGACGCGACACATCTCAACGCTGTTCTCTTCTTCATTCCTAATTCAAATTCACCATGTTTATGTGGGAACAGGAATGTTACTTTATGATTAGGAAGTGATAAAGTTTGACCTATCCAGGGACCCAGCAGCAACAATATCACTAAACTAAGACCTGTTATCAATGTATATACTGAAGCCAACAAGTTTGGGTAAGTTTCCTCTTTTTTTTAATTTGAAATAACTGGGTAAAAGCTAGGGTGTAAACAATAAAAGGAAAAAAAACTTGGCCAAAACATAAAAATATTAAAAGGGTTAACAAAAAGTCCTTCCTAAAAGACAACTTGAAGTGAACCTACTGTACAAATAAATAAAAGTTTGGCAAAGACTCGAACATGTTTAAAAAGTAACTAACTTAACATAGCTAAAGGTTAGCCAACAAAGATCAAGGTTAGCCAAAGCCAAAGTTTGTCAGTTAAGTTATGCAGAAAACAATTCTGAGAATTAGCTATGGAGGAAATGAGTTCACACAGCAATAAAGACTTTGCCAAAGAATAACTAAATATTATATAATTTGCTATGGCTTAGCCATAAAATTACCCAGGTGTAAAGAAAAGTCAGTAATATTTAGAATTCAAAGACAATATATTTTAAAAGTTAAAAACAAATCCCTACCTTTACATGAATCCTGGGGAACATAAAACTGTCCAAGTGCCACCAGTGGGCCCCGGAGCAGACTTTAAATTCCTCTGGTCTACATTTGCTGTTAAAACATAACAGACCAATCCTTTCACGTGTTCGAAATCATTTTAAATTGGAGTTCATTTAAGTAAGTCCACTTTTTTTTTAAGGCGCGATTTTTACACACCAAAGTTAGTTTAGTGAAAGGTTGGAATCGTGTTGACTATCTTTTTCAAAGCAGCTTTATAAAATAGTTGACACTAGGACATACATTTACCACTAATTGAAGTTTTTATTCCTCTTAGAGAAGCGCGCTCTTTCTGGACGCACGTCGGCCGCGTCAAAGTGCGTAACTCCTCCGATGGCGGCCCGTCAGAGATAACAGATAAGACAGAATGGAGCTACGAAGTCATTTAGTTTAACACACAACCATTAACGTACCAATAACATTCGATAGGAAAAGGACTCCACCGCTGACTCGGGTTGTGTTACACTCCGAACAGCTCCAACAGGTGGTCTGGAGCTAACTTTTGACTTCGGTGTGGGGAAAAACACCCTGACAGTGAACGCACCACGTGACCAAACATCATTAACTCCACACTCACCTGCTGCTGGACGCTGTTCGTCTTCCAAAGTGTTGTCCTGAGATTATTCCTACCAAAGAAACAAAAGTCAATTACAATCCAGTCCCATTGACGTGGATCTGTCCCGGTCAGAGTGGACGCAAGTCTCCACACGGGGGGGCGAGGGGCGCAGGGACAGGCTCCACGGTCATTCCCGACAGTCACAGAGTGAGAGTGACCCTCCCCACTGGGTTAAAAATAAACGCATCCAGTACATGATACAGTGTGTGCGCGGGGGACGGACATTCCTGACCAGAGCAGAGCAGAACTGCTGCTGCTGCTACCACTGCTGCTGCTGCTACTGCTGCGTCTAAGTGGCATACACACTCTTGTAATCTTCCGTGAAGACACCACCCTCCTCCACCAACTCCACTTTACTACACCCACCACAAACCCCTAATCACACCCGGCCCACATCCTGTGACCCACAGTGGGTCAGTGAAGTCACCTGCACTGCTGTCACACGATTAAACACCGGTCACATCCTACGTGATACACACACACACACACACACACACACACACACACACACTTTTAGACTATTCTAGAGTCTGATGTGTTTTACATGTGAAGTCAGATTCTTTTATAAATAAATAAAATATATCGATCTGCCATGGAAATGGTTATCTGTAGGAACTGTAAAAATGTTGAGAGAGACACAATTCAAAATATGTTTTTATGGCCTTGTTGCCCTGCAGAGAAAGACACTGCCATCAGTGGCCAAGCGGCACCATCCACGGTCCAAGACCCATATGTTGTCTTCTTTTTAAAACTACCCTTTTAAAAACGATTGTTGTTGAGAATAAGCCTTTACATTTGCTTCCCTGACCAAAAAAAGCTCGATATATTTAATGTGTACACCAGGCTAACACTTTAGCACAGCACCGTTTGTTCAACACTAATAATACGTACATATTTAAAGTAGGTCGTCAGGAAACTAAAATTCCAACAACAGGTGATAACATAAACACAAGTTGAAAAAGTGGGATTTTGTTTTTGTCTTTATATAAAAAAGCGTCACATCTTAGAACGTAAACTCAGAACATAAATAGACTTTTCGACAATGAACACACTTTAGAAAATAAAAGAAAACAAATTTTTCTTTTTGTAAATCTTGTTCCTTCATCTGTGTTTTCAGGTTTTTCTTTGGTCGCTGTGGGGTCAGTGTTTGATCCCACACAGTCGTCAACCTTCAGCTAATGTCAATAACAACAACAATATGGCTTCATGACTTCATACCAGCTGACCTGCCTCTGCATAGTTGTAATCATTGTTGTACAAACATAAAAATAAAGGAACATTTATGCATAAAAACCACTTTGTGCAAGTGGCTGTAAACACCAGCACCGAGCTGTGGAAGAATTCAAAAAACACATTCATGAGACATAAAAAAAAAAAAAAAAAAAACTGCACAAAAAATGACAAGTTAGAAATAAATACAAGTGAACTGAGAACTAACAGAGAACAGAAAAACAAAATCAGCTTATGCAGATTAAGTACCATGGAGAAAAATATGAACAAAATGTAACATTTTTAAAAACTGGATCCTTAACAAAATTCTCCACAGGTTTCAAAGGTGGTTAAAAGTTTGCAGTGCTTATGTGGAATAAAAATAATATTTAAGATAAAATTATAAATGCTTATATTTAAACAATAAACCACCATTTTAACCAATACACAGGTAAGAACACGTTTCAAAACATTGGGCTGTTAAAGTGAACTGATGGATTAAATATAAATGGACCTAACTGTGCACCTTGAAAGGCTTTTGATTAATTTCAAAGGAAAATGTAACACATTAAGCTAATATTTAGTCTAGCACGTCAAGCTAATATTAAGCTCATTGACACCAATGCTAAACTGCCTTTTGAGCATTTCTGCTAATTTTTGACATTGTTTTCCTGAAATGCATCTTTATCTACTTTTCTTCAGTGGACTCGTAATGTGTGTTTACGCTAACTTTTCACTAGCTCTGAAATATGTTTTAGTTTGGTAAAAAAATATTTTTTTAATTGTTGCCAGAAGTTTTTTATTGAAATTCATAGCCAACTGTTAGCGGACTTGTAGTTTTTTTTTTCTATTTCTTTGGTATATTGGAAACCCACAAAGAGGCCTTTTAGCTTGATTGTTAGCTAGCTTTTAGTAAAGTCGAGACTCAACTTTTGGAAAAATATTTTGATCAGGTGTGTTTTTTATGCAGCTCTTTGTCGTCTAATGTACAATTACGAAAAAAAAACTTTTATGGCAAATTATATTAATGCTACATTTGAAGTGCTCTGTTTTTCTCCTTTCTCCTTCTCCAACTTCTTCTTTTACGGTGACTACATTTGAAGTGCTCTGTTTTTCTCCTTCCTCCTTCTCCAACTTCTTTTACGGTGACAAATTCGATTTAATTAGAAATTACTTATGAAGAGTTGTAACATTTTTAAAAGATTCATTTGACAAATAAAACGTATTTATCATAAACCCAAATTCTAGCTTAATTTAACCTTAATTCTCTTTTTAAGTTTTGTTACAAATGTGCATATATAAAGGTAACAAGAAAAATAATAGTGCTTGATGATTAACTATAATGGAAAAAAAAAACTAAATATAACATTGGGATAAAAAACATTATGGATTATTCACTGCTCAGAGCCCTGTTTTCTCCTCCTCCTCCTCCTCGGGGACCTTTTTACTCTGCCTGATAATATTTGTTGTTTTGTCCCGTGCCGACTGTATTTTTAGCTTTTCGCCCATTAGGTCCCAAATCAGTTGAAGGACATTTGAAATTACATTCTGAATAATGAAGGTCAGAAATACGCAGCAGCAGGTGAAAATACAACAAAAAGATACTGTATTTATGGACTTTTTTTTCAGCAAAATTCTTCCTCGGTGTGTTTATTTCTGGCTCCAAACAGTCAAAAAGAAGAAGAAATTCTTTTAAATGTGTCCTAATACTCCAGATCTGAGGGCGTTGCCTCATCCTTCACCCAAACAGGTTTTGAATTAAAGTGAACATTTGCATAAAGTCTGTGACCTCAGCTGTGGAATAAAGAGACGCTGACCCTCGTCAACAGATTTAATCTCACATGTCCTGTCCTGTCCTGTCCTTGTGGCTGCATCTCTGACAGCGTTTATATATTTATGATAAATTTATAGCAGATAGAAACTAGTGGCGAAACATTGCTGGTGTAAATAAATGTCACCATTTGCCCCTGACTGTCTGTTAAACTTGAATTTCTTCTCTTTTCCACATATATATTTCTTTTACTTCATTTTGACCGAGTTTAAGGCACGAATGAATGTGAAAAATAAAGAACATATATATATATATACATATATATTTATATGTATATATATGTCAATAAACTACAGTGAATGTGCCATATTTGTTTGTTTTAAGACAATCTTTGGTAGCTTAGGATTATAATAACACAAATATATCATTATTTACAGGTACAAAAATAACAAAAAAACTTTTGAAACCTTCAGGTAAAAAAGCTGCTCAAAGTCTGTAACAGGAACAAGTGAAATATGTAACAGTGCTCTCCTTAAAGTAGAAACAAAAGTCAAGTATATAAAGATTTTCAGGTGCAAGGTGAAAAGACGAACTGACTTGATGCTGGGTTTAAGTGCTCACAGAGAACCTCAGGTGTCTCCATGTCTCCTGGTGATTATTACTATGAAGTGAGGAAAGTGTTGAGGTCAGCGATGACGGCCGCCTGCCTCCAGGCCACGCTGCTCAGGAGACGAGGAGGAAAAGACGGAGACTTCAGGTCCACCTTTGAGACAGGACAAGGACTTGGTCAGGACACAACACAACCGGGACAAACACTACATGGAGACAAACAGCAGCAGATGTGGTTTGATGTGGAGAATTTGTTTTTCTCTTGTTGTTAACTTTGTAAAGTTACATTAAACCGGAATGATTTGGGCGGTGATAAGCCAGTGATGCTTGCAACGTTCTAGGCAAAAGAAATGACTGTACTTTTGATTGTATTCCATTTAAATGTGGAATGTGGAAACCCTGAAGGTTCTATACAGTAGACTGGTAAAACCTCATGTTCAGATACAGTATTTATCATCCTGTTGTCACCAAACCAAACTGTCTGTTGTAAGGTAATGACAGTGGTCACAGAAATACAAATTAGTTTACAGACACTGAATCACCTGCAGCATGTAAATGACTCTGGTGAGTTCTTTCCCATTCTGTCTGATTGGCTGAAGGACCCAACAACTGGGCATCATCTCCCCCCGAACAGCATCCACACTGGGACGAGGCAGAGACTCTTCATACACCGACTGCATGGCCAGGATGTAGAGGCCACCCTGAGGCAGAGAAACAGGGGTAGGAGGGGCCGGGGGGAGAGGAGGGGGGGCAGCAGAGTGATGCTCAAAACATCCTGGAATAATAATATTTTTATGAACTGTTTATCAATATAAACAGTGTAGTCTCATTCTATATATCATATAAATATGTATACAGTATATATTTATAGCTTGAATATGTCTATATATACCTGTATATTTCGATATTAAACATGTCTATATATATATATATATATGAACATTTCTATATTTTATATATTAATATATACATATATAGTAAAAGCTCCATATATCACCTGTCCTCCGTCACAGCTTACATGCAGTATATTAGACAGAGTGATGTGGTTCAGTCTTAGTATCAGTCCAAGTCAGGAAAAGCTGCTCAGATGCAGCACAGAGCCGACTAACAGCAGTGGTCAGAGCAGTGATGTTGTTTCTGCAGCTGTGTTTACCTGTTTGGACTCGGTGCTGATGCAGCAGAAGTCCCTTGGCTGACTCAGGTGGCATGTGGAGGCATCTGTCAGTATGTAGACTGTAGGGGGAGACAGAGAAGAGAGACACAGAGACGTTCATTCTTCACTGTTTAATTCGTGGACAGGCTTCATGGGAAGCTGCAGCCAATCACAGCTGCCAACAGTCCTGCATGTTTTTGGACTGTGGTGGGGACCAGAGTGGGTTACCAACAGGAACGGAACTGCTGATTGTGTTGCTTCAAGGCATGAGCACCAGCAACCTTTTACTGTGGCTTTAAAAAATGTAAGACTCTAAAGAAAACTTCGATAGAAAACCAAGGTTAAAAAGAAATCTATTTTTTGTTGGGGAGTGTGGGGATAAACTACTAAAATTTGGCAATGTATTTATAGAACACAAGAAATGAATTGTGGTTATATACAAAGTTCAACTGAGCCTACACTCAAAAATGACTAGATGTAAAATAAAACATATATAAATAACTCTTGCCCATCAAACTCACAAGTAAAATCATTGATGTATCTGAGAGCGAGCAACACACAATCTAAGTTTGACCCTCAAGAAATATATAACAAATATATAGCAACAATATACTGCCATCAAAAATGAAAAAACAAAACAGGATAATCCTTTTCACATTTCTAAACCTGACCAAAAATAGTTACATGTTACATGAAGGTCTGAGTTTAAAGTCAGCCTGAATAAATCTGAAATTTTGTCACAAAAAGAGCCAAATTCAACCCAAAATAGCTTTAAATAACCTCAATCTGCTGCATATCATTCTTAAGGAGCATGTTGACGACAATTAACAAAGGTTAATTAATTCCTTAAGATGGATGCTATCTGCAGTAGAACTCATTCAAATGCCACAAATTACTACAGTATCTACATATCTCTACAGAATGCAGAGCAAAAAACACAAAGTCCTGCTGATTTTGTGAAGATGTTGTACGCAGTACAACGCAGGTGTGGAAATGGATTCTTGTAACACAATATACTTGTCAGTGATGAATGAGTCTCCACACCCAGGAAATGTAATGGCTGCAGATGCAGAGCACGGAGTAATGCACATACAGAGTCCATTAAAGTCACACAAGAATATAAATAGTACTGCAGTAAAGTAATAGCTGCATTTTTTATACATTAACATTATGCTAAATGCAAACGCAATGTAGAAATGCAGCATCCCATCAATTACCATTACAATGTCTAATTTAGCCAAAGCAGCTGAAGACTGGCATTAACTCACCCAGCTGAGTGCTGTCATCTAGTGGTCGTGTCCACACAGAGCGCACTGACTGATTATACAAGTGGCTCCTGGACAGCTGACAGATTGTCTTCCACAGAAGGTCCACAGGTCTGTCCAGCTCCGCTGCAGCCAGGAAACCATGCACCCCCTGGCTGCAGGAGGGCTTGTGGTAGGAGTGGACGCCTTGATCTACACCCTGGTACCTTAAGGAAAGGAAAGGAACTTTTTAATTGAGTGTATCCCAAAATAAAAGACTGACAGAAATATTCTCTTCATAAATCCAGCAAGTAAATAAAACGTCGTTCTGGTCCAATTTAATCCCAAGTTTTATTGCAAAGAACAAGTATATTATGAAAATGAAACATTTAATAAACTCTCGATTTACCAAACATTTCATCAACACCCAGAATGTTTCTTGATCATGAAAAATGAATGCAATTTCCACATTGTTTTCTACAATACACAGACAAAAGACATTTACTCAGAGGTTTCTGGAGATTAAAAAAAAAAAAAGTTATCAGTTTATATTAACTGACTGAAGAGACTTCAAATCAAAACTTAAAATGTGGACAACAAAGAAATTCCTTTATCTGTAAATGTAGAAAAGCTAATCGAATCGTGAAATTATTTTCCAAATATTGCAGGCAACGTCTTCTATTAAATTTCACCTAGTGGACAGAATAAGCCATGTGAATGTCCATTTCTGGACCATGAGCCATATGTTTGATCAAATCAGATGTGTGTGAAACGGCTGAATTTACCTCCATTCTGCAGAGGCTTTACCCATCACCAAGTTGGTAAAATCTCTGGTGGAGGCAAGTTGCACCTGTAAAGAAGAAAACATCAAAATGATTATAAATAGTAGTGCGCCAACTCTAAAAGAAAAAAAATGAAATACTTTCATATATTATATAAGTCTAAAAGAAAAAAAATGAAATACTTTCTTATATTATATAAGAATAATAATATTTTCTTTAATTGATCAGTGTAGCTTACTAGCATAGCACTGGCAATCCCAACAAATACAACTTTGCGATAAGGATTGGAAACATTTTCTGTTACCTCAGCTAGCGCCTCCCGAAGGAGAATGGAGGTGAGATCCTGATGGGCTGTGGAGAGAGAAGAGGTGCAGGAGCCAAAGGAGGTGGAGCGCTGACGCAAACAGGTGGAGGGCGATGGAGATGAGGTTACCCGTGGTTCAAAGACAGTGATGGACGCCTCGGTGCAAATGTCTATTAAAAACCATGGCCATATGAAGAGGGGAGAGTGAGCAGGTTAAAACTGGACCAAACCAGAGACAGATGGAGGACAAATATCCTTGGTGAACATTCTTTAAATTCTCAAGAAGAATATTTAATTATTATGATTAAACACTTACCCTGTGGATTTAAACATTTACCATTTTTTCAATAATAACAATTATATGTAAGTGTAGTAAATGATTGCTCTGTTTATACCCTGGGAAGACAGCCAGACTCTAGGTGTCTTCACACTTTGAGGACCACATAATGGAGGACGTGTCCAGATCTTCTGTCCTTCATCCTGAGTCACCTGAACCAAAAACAAAATACAGGTGATTTTTTTATTGTATTTTCCCAGTACAAAATAAGTGTAATATTATTTGAATTGTTTTTTTTTTTTAGTGAACCAACCTGTCCATTTAAAGCTGGTCTGCTGCTGTGCTGTTGCTGGACCGTGTTCCCACTGTTGTATCCTGATGTGGGTCCAGATGAAAGACTCAGACTGGATCCAGTGCACAAGGTGCTGTTACTGGTTCTGGTCCGATACCTCGGGTCGTCCTGGACAGAAGGTAAATAAAGATAAGGGAGCTGCTAGGATTTAGGATCTTTTCCTTAATCAATTTTACAAACCTTTTCCTCAGGAGTCAGCGCCTGCTGTTGAAGCCTCCTTTTCTCCTGCTCCGTTCTCTCTCGCAGTCGTTCTCTAGCTCTCGCAATCTCCGTCATGGCTTCTTGTCGGGCTCGGCCGTAATCACGCAACATGTGCTCAATGTCTGATGGATACTGTCCCTCTCCTCTTGGAGAATTTGTTAACCTGTGATTACAGATGACAATATTTCAGATTTACTCTTGCTTACTTCTTTTGTTTGGTAGAGGAAGTCTCCTTACCTGGTGCTGTCGATCACCTCCTGACGGAGCTGTTGCAGGTATTCCATGCGGCGACTGGGAGACACAGGAGGTATCTTGGAAGGGGACGCAGCCTCTTCAGAGGACGAGCAAGGACACTTCTTGGGACTTAGACTTCGAGCTCTGCGGTAAGTCTGGAGTCGCCGCTCCCTCTCGTGCCTCAAACTCTCAATACTCCTTCGGTGTCTGGATAGAAAGATAAATATGTTGTCAAACAGAAGATGTCAAAATGAACTGAATTTTGGCAAAACGGCCATTACATAGAAATTACAAAAAAATAAAGTTAGCCCAAAAAGCGCTACATGTACAAAAGCGCCAACTAGAGGGCTGACAGTTAGCAAAAAATATCTTAACTATATTGGCTGACAGTTAGCAAAAAATATCTTAAAATAACTAAAACATCTCTACAGATTTGCTAAGAAGTAGACAACTAATAGCAAAAAATATAACAAAATTGCTGTAGCCGTAGCGGATTGAAGTAGCTATCGAGCTCTCAAATGACAACTGTTAGCCAAAAAAGAGCCAAACGTTATGTCTTAAAACCATAAAAACATTTTAAAAGCATAGCTAACAGTTAGGCAAGACTTTTCTCCTTAATAATTGGAAATAGCCAAAATGGTTGGCTATGGTTAGCATATCTAATATTGGATAATAACCATTATGAAATTAGGCCTATAACACTGTATAGAAAAAAATTCTAATCAACTTTTCTTTTTTTCCTTTTTATACTGAAAGCAGTTTTCTGTCTTTTCTTACCGATCATAAAGCTGCTGTTTGGTACGGGCAGAGTTCACTGGCTCCAGATCTTCACTGGTCTTTGGGGACAACATCTTCAACAACGTGTCTGTCTCTCCTAGACCATAATGCAACTTGGCCTCCGTCAGTTCCACAGACAGCGGCGTTGGGTTCATGCTCAGACTGACTGAAGCCATCACCTGCTCTCTCTCCTGTCTTAACCTCTTGATCTCTCTGACCCGTCTCTCACTGTTAGCCACAGACTCCAGGTTCGATCCACAGCTTTCTATTTCACCCCAATCACCGACATTTCTACTGTTGTCTTGGTTGACGTTCACCAACTCCTGCTGTTTCTTGATGAGTTTGGATCGTTGCTGGTTTATACCAGACCAGTTGGTGAACTTGTTGTGCATAGGAAGGTCTTCTGGTATCATGCTGCGATCTTGAGACTTTAGTTCGCTGGTCAAAGGTTGGATATTCACAAGAACGTCTGTGTTGCATTCACTGGGAGCCAAGGACAACGTGTCATCTTCATGAGGTTCAGGAGTTGCACCATTAACACAAAACTCTGAAGAATCATCAAACATTCTGCTGTAAATTGAACATTTTCTATTGGCTACTTTAGTCTGAAGCTTGTGTTCATTGACGTGTTCGTTGACTGAAGAGATGTGTTTGTTTGTAGAACTCGAAGTTCTTGTTGTTGTCTGAGAGAAACGTTGGTCTTCAAAGATCTTCTCACAACTGTCCAACAATGAACCAGAGTTGGTGGGACCTGATTTGAGACTTTTATTCATCTTCTCAAGAGACTCAGAGTGAGTGGATGAAGCTTATTCATCTTCTCAAGAGACTCAGAGTTCGAATCACACTTCGATGTGGACAATGATTGTTGGCAAGAAGACGATGATAGATCATCCTCCACAAAATCACTGAATGTTTTCCTACGTGTAGGTTTTAAAGATTTAACTCCGACGGTCAAAATTGGAGATGATGCTCGATCTTTGTACGAAACCCGTTTCTTTACACCAGTCAATGGCTCATTTCTTTTGGACATACCTTGAATATCTTGAAGTCCACGTCCTAATGACTGTCTTTCAAATGTTGCAGAAGTTGTGCTTTGCTGTACAAATCCCGAAGATACAGATCTGACACGTCTTTGACCTTCAGCTACATAAATGTGTGAACTCAGGTCTGGCATGCTCTGCCTCCTTTCATCTGTGTTAGCATTAGCTTCAATTTGATGGCGTAAATTTTGGTGTGGAGACATGCTGGGAGCCTCCGGAGCGATCACTTTGACTATCACGTTGATCTCATGAGCTTTGGAGGTTTTATTGGGTGTTTGGTGAACGACGACTTCCTTCTCTGCCTGCCTTAAAAACATATCTGTCTGGATCCCAACGTCTGAGGCTGTTTGAGTCGAACAATTTTTCACAGACTCACAGTACGAGGTGCTGAGATTGGTCAAGTTCACACTACGTCTTGGACTGGACCTCCGGACTTCACCTGTCCTCATTTCCTGGACATCTCCAAGAAGATCAGAGGTGCTGTCAATCAACTTAGAAAGATGAGCTGACATGCTCTCCATGCTGGCCCAGGTAGAAGACTCCTTTATATCCTTGGGTCTTTGTAAAGTTGGTCCGTCTGTCTGGCTTCTTCTGTGACGCTCTTTGTTTTTTGTAGCACGTCCAGTGCTGATGACTTTCATCATTTGAGTCACCTGCTCAGTTTGGGTTCCATGTTCACACATCTTCATCTGTCCACAGGTCTGAACCTCGTTTGCCTTTGACTCTTGCTCAGATGAGTAGATGTACATAATTTCATCCACGTTGCCAGAGCTGTTGCCAAAATCCCCCGATGCATTGTTACCAGAAGAGCTGCAGCTAACCGTCAGACTGTTCGTGTCCAGCACAGACTTTCTTTTGCCCGATTCCTTATAGTCTTCCATGCTGCTCAGTGTGCTGGAGAGGCCCTTGTTGGTGGCGTAAGTGCTGAGGTGGGAGTTGAAAGGCGAGTTCTGTCCATTCAAGCCATTCTCCACACTGCAGCACCGTGCTATACGTTTTTCTGAGCTGTTTAGAAGCGGAGATTTGCAAGACAGATCGGCGGCACTGCCGAACGAAGGGTTCTTGTAACGGTGCTGGTGTGAGTTCCCATCTTCCCACTGGTGAACAAAAGGGTTAATGTCACTGGAGGCAAAATTCATCGGTGAGTCTTTAGCGCGTAAAGTCAGGTGTGCTTCACTTTTTCCTGTGTGTGAGATCAGTGCTTCTTTGTTTGTGTTTTGTGAGGCAGCTTGAGGTGGTAGTGAGGGTGTCTTTTGATGTGTGTGATCTGCATTAGGTTTAGGTCCACCAGGTCCATGAGTCCTTCGTCCTGAAGACACAGAAGCTTGTTTATCTTCTTGTCTCTCATTATTCTGTGTATTAAGCTTCACCCATTTACATTGGAGCTTGCTGTAATGGACTCTGGTAGTTTTATCTTCCTCCTCGTCGGACGATTTTAGAGAAGAATCAGAGGAATAAGAGACAACAGCTTTTACCTTGGACCTTCTGATTCTCTTGGACTTTTTGGTCATAAGAGAAGAATGAGATACTGTACCACTCAATGTGGTTACGTCGTGGTCTTTGGACATGACAGAACTGTAACATTTTGTACTTTTAACAACAGGTTCTTTTGGAATTTTGTGCTGAGGATCTGAAGAACTATTGATTTTCTCCATTGTTGAAGAACCAGGAGCCTCCAATCGGCAGATCGATGTTACAAAGGTTTCTTTACTGCTATCTTCGAGGGTAACTTTGCTGTGTGAATCCTGGAACTTGACATGGTTCACATTGCCCCCAAAAGTCTGGGATAGTTTTTTTGAATGTGTTTCTGCAAATTGGAAATGGTGTGTTAATTTTAAAGAGGGCTTGTCTCCTTTAACGGTCTTACTTCTGTTGTTTACTTCATGGGCTGCGAGATTACCACAGTCTTTCAATGCAATCTGAAGATTTTCTTTATGAGTCAACAGTCGCTTGGCTTCAGGTTTCACCTGAACGAGTTCGCATTGTTTGTCAAAAGTCTTTGTCGAACTTTGCTGAGCTGGTTTATAATGGTCTTCAACAATAGATGCAAGGTCACCTCCAGAGAAAACCGCTCTGTCAGCGCTGGTGCTGGTTGGTTCATTTGCGTTCAGGTCATTTCTGCCAGAGTAGGGATGAAGACATAGCTTTTCTTTAGTGATCTCAATGTTTGTGCAAGGATCAATACATTTTCTCTCATCCACCGGCAACAAACTAGTTGCCTGCAAAATAGCGATTACAGAGTTCACCGACTCAGAGTCTTTCTTTGCTGCATTCTTTGGGTTCTCATCAAGAAAGCTGTGTGTCCGATCAGTTTGAACTTCAGTGGATTTAAACATGGAGCTCCGACATCTATTCCCAAGTTGGTCCATCGAAGTTGATGGAACATTGTGACTTTTATCCATTTCATCTTCACTAACATTTTCAGCTAAAGATCGTCCATTTATACGTAGCCTTGCTTTTACCTCATCTTCTCTCTCATCAACCTGCTGCTTCTCTGTCGTTTTGTGGTTTTCACTTTCACATCCATAGTGACATGGATCAGATGTAAAAACATTCAGGAACTGGCTCTGGTTCATGGACAACCTCACATGCTCTTTCACCATTTCAGCAATTCGTAGATCAATTGCACTACAAATAGCATCCGATCTGCAAATGTGCTTTTTGTTTTCCATGTTTTCTCTGCTGCCATTCATTGTGAATTCCTCGCCACTTGGTTTTACTTCCTGTACTGGTACATTTCCCTTTGAAACGACCTTACTTTCTCGAGGGGATCTACATTGAAGATCTCCGTCATCACTTCTAGACTCACAGGTCATTTCTTTAAAGGCCTCCTCAGGTTTCAGGTTTTTGGAACAATATAAATCAAACCCGTAGCAATTAGTCTTCACCACAGACTGCTCTTCTTTTGCGTAGCTGGCATATTTATTATCGTCAAGAGAAATATCTGTATCCTGTCTGTCTATCATTTGAGAACTGGACGTTACCAAATCCCCCCCGTTGCTCCGTTTTGGAATTTTCAAGCTCCCAATGAAAATCTCCTGTTGCTCCTTGTTTCTCTTCCTGGAATTTTTACAAGCCGATTTAACAAGCTCCTGTTCGAGTGCTACGGAATTCTCTGTGCCAACTGACAAAAGTTTGGTGCTGTCAATCTCACAGTGCTCCGCCTCCTTATCTACACTGCACAGAGATTCTTTATCAGAGGTACACACCATTTCAGACATCTTGTCTAGTACATCGGTGCAGTTAACAGGGTTTATGGAGTCATGTGTTTGCGGATGACAATCAGAGGTACACATGTCACTGTCGGAAGACATGTGGACATCACAAGCTGCAAAATTGGCTGCATTTTTGGACTCTTGAAGTAAGTCTGTCGCTCCTTCGGCAGTTTGAGGGGTCCCAGTGTGTAAAACTGAAGTGCTCTGATCAGGAAATGGTACGGAGATTGAATTTCCACTGTTTTTGTCCCGGTTTGCTGTATTCTGGGACAACCTGGTCCTGTTTTCCTGCATGGTAACATTCACAATATCAGAGCCAGTGGTGGTTGAGCAGCAGCCTCTGTATTCACTCTGAGATTCTGACAGGTTTACACTAGTCAGGCTGGAGCTGCGGCTGCTGCTGTTTTCAACATGTCCGACCATCAGTGGTCTCTGGAAAGTCAGAGAATCCCTGTGAATCCTGGGACTCTCTGTGGTGTCGGTGGACGACCAGGCGTCAGTGAGTGCCTGAAAGATTTCCGTCTCACTTGCGTTGCAGTTGCTCAGTGAGCATGGACTCTGCAATGTCCCAAAGTCCTCTGTTAATTTTTGTATGATGGTATGATGGACACTTCTAGTGTCTTCTACAGATGCACCACTCTCTGACTGACTCCACATTGCCTCTACTGGGCTAATTTGGCGTTTCTTACAGTCTGAGCTGCTCTGTTCAGGCCGGTCAGTGACCAGTGAATAAGTCGGTACGAGTGTTCGTCTGAGGCTCTCTAACCTGGAGTGTTTCTTATTGGTCTCCACAGCCAAAGAATCTTGAGAAATCTCACTGTCTTCACTTTCTGTTTCACTCTGCGCCGCTTCCTCTCGTCTCAGCTGCTCGGCAAGAACCGTCACGTACGCAGAAGAAAGTGAATCCAGTGAAAAAAGGCTGTCGCAGTCCGACAGCCCTCCGTTCACGTCTTCTTCTTCTCCTTCTTCCCACTTCACCAAATCTTGCTGCATTTCCACCCAACTGCCTGTCTTCTCCAGAAGAGCTTCTGTACTGTGCCAGCGTCTCCGTTTAATGACGTCCCCAACACTTGTCCTCAGGTCAAGCTCCTCACACGAGACAGATGTTTTGATTTTATCTGACTCTTGACTCATTTTGGTGTTTTTAAAGCACCTCTCTCTTTTTGATCCCCAGTGGAATTTGCTCCCTAAAAGTTTAGGAACTCTGGCTCCAGTTGTACCTAACGGTGGTTTTCTGAAAACTTTGGACAACACAGTTTTTAACTTAGGTCTTACAGAACCAGAGATGGACTTTCTGATGGGTTCTAGTTCTTTAATTCTAGTTAGATGTGATGGGGTCTTAGAGCTTGTGGAGGATGCTGCCGTATTTTCTTTGCAGACTGTTTGCACAGTATTCTGCGACTTCAGAGGAATTATGTTCTGATCGGATTTGTTCTTAAAAGACAGGTCTCGGTTTGGCAGCAGTGGTTTTCTTTCAGGACGTTCTTGACAAACCAGAGCTTGAGATTCCCCTCTGGGAGTTTGTCTGATGTTTTCAGATGAGCTGACTCTGCTTTGGCAGGATTTATTTTGCTGTGAGAAAGTCGTCCCAGAGCAACTTTGAGACCTTTCCCGAGGAAGACACTCATCTGAAACCCACTCTCTGCTGTCAACACAGTCAGACGGTATGGAAAGATTTGTGGAAGTCAGTTCTGTGGATCTGTTTCTCTTAAGGAAATGCCTGTAAAGAAATGAAAATACAGACATTTAGAAAAACATTACAGAAGACTGGATTGGTCTTTGAAAAATGTTTAAATGCACTCACCTGAAGATAGGGGAGTTCTGGGGGTAAAGCCGGGACAGAAGATCTGATGAGAATGAGTGTCTACGGGACGATTGTGTTCTGTACTTGGAGTTGGAGCCCAGCTCAGGAGACCCTGAACTTTCTGGCAAAGCCTTTTCCAGCCGCTGTAATTCCCTCTTTGCTTCTAGAAGTCGCTGTTTACGGGCGACTCTTTCCAGCTGGTACTGCAGACGTTTACGGCGAATTCGGCTTTCGGCCCGACACAAAGCGTGATATTTCAGCAGCTCCTCCTCCACTAACTTCCTCCTGGCTCTTATCACCTCACTGGGACCGTTCACTGTCTGAACATCCTGACGGCTAGATGCTTGATTAGTCAGCAGATCAGGGAGCGATACAGCAACAGCGTCAGTTTGAACTCCACACTCTTGTGTGACTTTGTGCTCGCGAGTTGCCAGACGTTGCTTCTTTTGCAAAATCCACTGCTGGACTGTTAGGTGGAGATTTAAGAGATAATTGAGTAGCTTTAAAACCATCTTTTCACCATCTGTAATTTCTATGTTTGTTCTACATTAAAAGATAGCTTAACTTTTTTTTGGTTTGATATTAATATGTAAAATCAGCTTCAACAATCAAGCAAGTATATTACACCATGCTCTGAACGAAACCAGGAATATCACTCACACTCCGTTTGCTGCTGTCGAAGGAGGGCCTGCTCCCTCTCCAGCTCCCTCTCAGCTCCTCTCTGTGCAGTCTGGATCTCCTGTCGCAGACTCTCCACATAGAACTGCTGCTCCTCCACACGATGTCTCACAGCAGGCTCCTCACCGGAGGTAACACAGGCACTGAGGTGATCCTGGAGCTTTGCTTCTTTGACACTACAACAAAGTAAAAATAAATAAATATAAATACTTGCAATATAGAGCTCTTTGTCAACAGTACATTTAGGCAAAAGTAAAAGCTGCTGTTGTCACTTTCCAGCCTCGCTTCTCAGCAGTTACTAAGCAACGTCTGTTCCCGTCCTGTAAACAGCTAACAGGGATTGTTGGGAAGGGTGGGGGTAAACAGAAACACATGCCATATGCACCAGCTTGAGGGGAAACATGAAAGCATGAAGCTCTGCCCTAATTCCTGCAGTAGGTACATGGGTAAATCTCTTGTAGCTAATTAAAAATGTATGCAGTGAATTGGCAGAACAAACTCTCTCTGCACCACACGTGTATATATATATATTGTCTAACAAGCCGGTCATACCTATGGTCAACTGAAGAAGTGCAAAGATCCACGTAGTTGCAGCCAAAGTTTCCTTCACTAGTCTGAAAATAAGTTTAAAAAAAAATCTAAATTAGCAGTATTTTGTATTTCTCCAACAACTAACAGCATATAAACAATAATTATTACCCGTCTGCGTTCACGTAGGACGGCTGCCTCGGCCGGGTGGTTGAAGCGAAACCTGCGTCCTCCACCCAGAGTGATGACCATCCCTGGATAACATATTTATTATATTTAAGACAGCACAAGTACAGACACAGTTTTTACATATAATGATGGATAAAACACTAGAAGTTCTAACTGTTTACAAAACTGCAACTTTAACATGGTAGATTTGTTTAATGAAAAATAAATACTAGCATGTAGTGTAGTGCTTAATTTTACAGACATTTTTATAAAGCATTGATTTTTAATCCAGCTACTAGAAAAAAGTCAATAAACCTACAAAATATTATAATAATGCCTTGAATTGATCTTTATTCTACATATTCCCAATATGTTTCCAATATTCTGTGTGACAGGATCAGAGAACTGTGACTGACCTTGAGCCAGTCTGCAGGGCTCAGTGACCTCCCTGTCATTGATCAGACAGGAGCAGCCTGACAGAGGTCGTAGTGTAACCACACCTCCACGGTTTTCGATCTCACAGCAGACACCACCCGGAACATCTGCACAGAAGACACGCAGAAGGATAAACAGAAGCCCTGTTTACACGGCTGCAGAAAAAGTTTGGGATATTAACAATGAACCAGCTCTTCACAGAACACCTTGGACCAGTGGTTCCCAAACCTTTTCTACTCTGAGTACCACCAGTGGTTAGTCCACCCAGAGTGATGACCATCCCTGGTCTGTACCACCTGAGAAAACACTGATCTCTCTGAGTACCACCATGATGACCAACATTAGAATACAGCAGCATAGACTGTCACTGTTAGCTTCCACCACAGGAGAGATGTTTATAAAGATGTTTATTAATTGTACATGGTATGATTCAGATTTATTCAACTGAAAATGTAAATGTGAAAATATGAATTCTCCCAGCGTACCACTAGAGAGCGCTCAAGTACCACTGGTGGTACGCATACCACAGTTTGAGAACCACTGCCTTAGAATATCAGAAGTGAATTTATTAACTTTTTTTTGTCTGATTTTTTTTTTTTTTTTGTCTTTTTGCCTGGTTAACAACATTACGTTAGTTACTAGTTTTGTGGACAAAACTTGCCTGTCTCTGGATCATCAAACCCATCCTGAGGTTTAATTTGTGTCACTCCCTCCTGCAGAAATGACCAAAACACACTTTAATGTAAAATCATCAAACATTAGTTAACATGACGAACAGATTAATTCAGTGCACTTTAGAGAGCTTCTCTCCTTGTAATCTTTATCTTTGCTGACAGGAAAAAAAACTTAATTGATCTCACTTTGAAGTGTTATCAAACGACATTAAAAGGCGTTCTTTATACAGTGTCAGGACCACATGTGCTCCCAGGTGGCCGCAGCTCTTCACATGCAGGAAACAGTGTAATTGTCAGGCCTGAGGGTTTGCTTGTCATTGTCAGAATCAGGGCAGCTTAAGCTCCCCCGAGCCCCAGCCTCGGAACTAAGAGCCTCTTATCCCACCGAGAAGACGTTCACAGAGAGAGAGTGAGAGACGGAAAGAATGACGGGAGATTGACATGAGAGATGGAGAAGTGGGGGAAAAAAATGAGGTGAAATGATAAGACAGTTGAAACACACCTTCGGTTTTTTTTCTAGCGGAACAGAGAGAGACAGGACGAGGAGAAGGAGGAGAGGCAGAGGGACGAACCTACAGTCGACAAAACAGGAGAGAGGAAATGGAAGGTTTCAGACACGACAGCTGACAAGAACTTGACTTAAAGGGTGTGAAAAGTAGAGCCAAGAAGAAATAACAGCCCGTCATTGTTTGTGTCATATTTCTTTGAGACATTTGTATATTTTAGTGTCTTACCACTATTATTATTGGCACAGAAGGGATGTTTAACGTGTAATTCAAACACCTCATCTTATTAAACAAACAATTTTCAAGGGAGAGTACACAGGAAGACGACTAACACAGAATTCCCAACACTAGATATAATCAAGTAGATATAACAACAGTACAAACGAAGCCGGTTACCGCAGTACTGACTGCCCATTGATTTGTAAAGATGTACTCCACTGACAATGTGGAGAAAAAAATTAAAAATATAGAGACAGTTTTTCTAAGTGATGAGAGAGAAAGCTCCCAAGAAAAGGAGAAAGAGAAAATGCAGGCAGAGGGCAGCATTGTACCAGGACAAAATTAACATAATAGACCTGTAACTGTTAGGGCAGCATTGTACCAGGACAAAATTAACTTAATAGATCTGTAACTGTTCAGATCATATAAAATGATCATAATTCTCAAAAATTGTACTTCTAAAACTTTTACACACTGACAAAATACATCTGTTCAACCGTGTGTCCCATCGTACCGAGAGGTGATAAAAGACGACCCAGGTGCTGAGAACGTCTCTGTCCAGAGTAACCAGGTGAGGCTGCAGTGAGTTGATGAAGAATCCTCCTCTGTCTCTGTTGATGTCCACGCTGTACTGCTCCAGCAGCTCCTTCTTGTCTCTCCAGCTCTCCGACCAGTCTTTGGTCAGCTGCTCCACCTGGGGAGGAGACAAGGAGATGGTGATGAGAAAGTAAACACCTCCTCCTGTTGTTCTTCAACTACTGTCAGAACTGCTATGTACTTTTTTTTCCTATTTAGACTAATTGTAAATAATGTATGGTAAATAAAAAATATATAGAAATACATTTGTGAAGACTGTCAGACTTAAACCATCAGTGTTTTCACCTTCAGCTCATTCTGCAGCACCATGTCAGACAGATTGCCGTCTCTCTCATCACTCAGTGAAGGACTGGGGTTTCTCTGCTGTCAATCAAAAGAAGAGAAAAAGAAAAAAGACCAGTCATCGTCACGCACAGGACCTGTCATAACTTTTGCCCTTCATTCATTAACGATATTACTAAGACACAAGGCAGCACGTCTCTGATCCTTAAACATGACTTCTATAACATTCCACACCTAACGAGCTCCGGTGTGAATCCCTGGGAGAATGAATTACATCATATTACGATAAAAGAAGGTCGATGTTACCAGTTGAAAGCTGAGCAGCATGTTCTTCAGCCTGTCAATCTCTTCTCTCAGCTCCCTGATCAGACGAACGTTGGCGTCCTGCACCAAATTCCAAAGCAGACACAGCGTCTCACAAAAATGTTTTAGAACAGAAATGCAACTTAAAGTTAGAACGCCTGTAAAGAACCACTGACCTCATTAACACGGGGTTTGTTGACAATATTTCTGGCGTGTGCGGCGTACCGCAGGGTACTGAGGGTCTCGTTGTAGCTGCTGGCAGAAGGCGACACGGCTGCGAACAAACCCACAGAAAGAAAATGACCACATGGAACAAATAAGAGAAAAACTTTTATCCTCACTTTTATCTTATATCAGTTTATAACAATATATATCAGAGTCACACATATATCAATCAACAAAAGTCATTCTAAATGTTAGCTAAAATCCACAAAGTTAGCAAAATCTAACTCAAGATCAGTTTAGGATCAGCCAAAAGAAAGTTACAGAATTGTAATTATTCGTTAACTTTACTACCTCGTCAGCAAATCATATAAATTATATATAAATACAGAAGTATTTAAAGTTTGTCCTGGAGCCATGACTGACTATTTAATCTAATTATAACATTTTATTCATCAGCATTGACCAAAATGGTCTGAAAATTCAAATGTGCAGTACTGATTTCTTCAGAATCCCATTCCCTGTCATTTTTCTAACTCTTACTGGCAATCATAATGGTCTTGGAGTTTCCTCCCAGGCTGTCTTTGAGCAGCCAGGTTAGAACGGAGTCTCTGTAGGGGATAAAACAGTGTCTCCTTGCTCCTCCTCCTCCTCCTCCTCCTGCTCCACCACCTCCAGACAGGGAGCTGCTGTGGCTCCCCACCGTGCTGCCATCACCCTCCGAGGCTACGCTGTTGATACTCTGGCAGCTGCTGGACATCTGGGAGTTCTGAGCTGTGGATTTAGGTTCAAAAAGATACTGGATTGTGAGACATGCAGAGTGAAAAGTTAGGGATAAAAAAAAAACTCTAAAAACTGAAGAAAAAAGAAATTACCAAGAGCTGAGATGACGATGCCTAAAGTGACCAGAGACTTGTTGATGTTGGAGCCTTCTGTTAGTCTGTCTCTGCAGTAGTGAGGATCGGCTCTTTCACTGGAAAAGAGGAAAAATAACAAATAAATACATCTCATTTGGATTAAGGAGATATAAATGCAGAGGCTGGTTGATAAAATGGATCCTAAGGGCTGCAGTTAAGCTCCACCAGGGGGCAGATTTAGCATTAATGACTATGGCATTAAAGCTATTTAGAAGAAAGAAAATAAAGATGTCTGATATTGTCCCCACAGTGTTTCAAATTTAAAGGAACAAAGATCAAGAACTGTGGATTTAATCACAAAAGAATAAAAAAGTTAAAATTATCAGACAGTCTTTGACTTTAACTCCTTAGCCCTAAACCAAACCCAATAAACAAACTGGACATTTTTAGCTAAGAAAAAGAAGAAAATTCTACCTCCCAGCCAAGTCCACCAAGTTGATCCTGCTGACAGTTTCTGAGGGAAGGTTATTTTCCAAGATAGCCTGTGGCAAAAACAACAATAAGCACTAGAAATGCTGCGGTAATATAACAAGAACTTCACATAAGGACAGATTTATTAACAGCAACTGTTGACTGGATGGCGACCTGTGTGTACTGGATGGTGAAGATGGCATGAGATCTGCTGCTAGCGTCATGGTTGTGTGTTGCAGCAGTGATGCGGTTAGCGATGCCTTCCTCCAAAAGCTCCATGGCCTGTTTACAGTCCGAGACCACGTGTTGAGACAGGTCTGCAAAGAAAGAAGAAAAAATTAAGTCGCCTGAGTAAAGTTGAAATTTAAGGAAATGATGCTAAGCTGATATCGGACGGAGTTTCTTCCTACTTTAACATGTGGTTCCTTCATACGCTGTATCTTCATTAAACCAGTAGCAACAAACATTTGGATCACTTCATACCAGGACTGACAGTAATGTTGTTAAATCAAGACACGTGCTAATAAAAACTTTTTTTTTATCATGTGCTCCTTGTGTCTGGAGTGCAACGCTCCCCCTGGAGCCACCAGGAAATGACTTCACTTCCTCAGGTGGTCAGGGATTTCTCTTGATACAGACAATGAGTGGATGTTAGGCCATTGACGCAAACAGGCCGGCACCAGAAAAGGAATAAAAGTAAATAAAAAAATCCATGACTAGTGTGGTGAAAAAGATAGACACAGGAAACGAGAAGCTAAAAGGAGCATGAGTCAGAGCCAATGTGGCCAATTTGGGAGAAGATGAAGATATAAAGCATCCACTACTGACCACAAACCACCGCCAGTTAAAAACTACAAACACAAGAGTTTTCCTCAAAATGCTGCTTATCCAAGAATGTAATTCCAAAAATCTATGTCTATTTCCATGAAGAGACTTCCATTCACTACTTCCAGTCGAACTCTTTATAATTCACTCACACACAATGTTCACTCAACAAAGGTCATTTCCTCCAAAAACTAAAACCAGCTAATTATCTGATGATTAAATATGAATATGCACAGAGTACATTACAGAGTACGTCTGAGGCATCAGGGTATCTGCTGCTGCTGCTGCTTGTTGATTTATGCATGATTTGTTATTTTTATTTAAATCTCTGTGAAAATATTCTGCAAGGTTAACGAGAGGTGGCAGCCTTTACACCTGAAGTTTAATATTTAATCAGTGAGAAACAAGAAGAAGAAAAAAAGAAGGAAGAAATTCATCCAGTTCCATTCTGGTGGAAGTTCTTTTTCAAACATTTACATTTATGCATTTAGCAGACGCTTTTATCCAAAGCGACATACAGGAGGATTAACAATCAAGCATGTGTCTCCTCTGGGAATGGAACCCAAGACTCTCTACTCTCTGATTCCGAGGCAGAAGTGCTAACTGCTACACTATGGAAATATGTCAACCTTCACAATATTTCTGATATATTTTGATTTTCAGTGTACATATTCACTTACTGACCACTTTATTAGGGACATCTTTTGGCATTTGGAGTGACCTTTTGGTATTAGGACCTATTTAATTTTTTAAATATTACATTTTTGTGTCAATGGATTAACTGGACCAATGTAAATAGAATGTTGCATTAAGGTAGAATATCCATGACTAATTCATATAAACCCATTTCTTTGTGCTGTGTGCTGATCCTGACCCTCCCCGGCCCTTTGCTTATGACATCATCTCAGTTGCGTTACAGCGAGCCACCAGGTGGTTCTGCAGTCTCTGAACTCCTGACCAATTCCAAATATTTAAATGCATCGAGCTGCTGTGACACGATTGGTTAACTAGATACTTAGTTTATGAACCAGCACCTTTTGAAGAGGTCCCGTAGGTTCTACTATATTATCAAACGGCAAACACTCACCTTGAACATACGGCCCTTTCTCCGGGTGTTCTCTGACTCTCAGTGAGGCTTTCTTCTGATCTCCTCTTCTCAGCAAGTCTCTCACACGCTCGTTATAGATCTCCAGAAAACTGGAAATGGGATAAATCAGAAAACATACTGCTGCCTACGTACAAGACTGAATTATAGATAATAAAACACACTCGGAAGCTGAGGTTATTTGGTGTCAGCTCCATCTCTGAGAACTCATTTTCCACCACGTTTTCCTCCAAATAAACAATGTTTCTTTAATTGGCAATTTAATTAAACAGTATCATGGAAATTTCCTGCGGTAATTAAGTGCAATAAACACCATCACTACTGCATGTGTGCATTTTGCAGAACATCATTTCTCGCCAAAAACTGTCAAAAAATGATTCTTGACATTTTAGTGCCACATCAGTAAAAGAAGAAAATAACACAAACAGAGCGACAGAATGATGGAGTACCTGATCTCCACTCGGCTGGAATTTTGCCCGTCAGGAAAAGTGTCTTCAGACCTGAAGAGACCCTGTGTGGAGAAGCAAAAATACAATTTACTTCACACAGCGCTGGTTTGTTTATGTTACCACCAGAAAAAATGATGCCCTGCTCTGTTACCTGACAGATCCGAGGTGTCAAACCACTGGAGTCCTGATGAGAAAAAGAAGAGAGTAAGTTATGGTTGTTGACTCTGGACATATTTATTTGTCTTTGAGTATAAATATTTAATGTGATTTTTTTAAAATATGGATAAGTCCCTAAATGTCTCTTGGGGTCTAGTTGAATAACAGTGACGCCGACTCCACCCACTCCAGCCCTTATCCTCACCGGTGTCCCCATCATGGTGTACGTCTTCCCGGATCCTGTTTGGCCGTAGGCAAAGAGACACACGTTGTAGCCCTGAGAAGCTCCAGACAGCACCAACACACCCAGGTCCTGGAACACCTGAGGAGATAAAACACACAAAACACACCCTCAATACAACATCCGTGAAGACAGACGAAGACAGATCAAATCAGACTCGCCCAAGGACAAGTCAGAGAATCAGCCTTGATCTGTTTTCATACGGCACTGGAAAAAAAAGAAATCATTTAAGGCCTAGAGGTAAAATCAAACAGTACAAAAAGCCAAATAAGCAAAAGTTGACTTTTGGTCTCTATGTAGCAACGTTTTCAGTAATGTAAAAATGAAGTGTACCCAATGACCAAATCAAACCTTAATTACAAGAAGAAGCATAATATTAAGTTTTCGAGACTGGATAAAAGAAAAAATCCACGACTGAGACAAGGATAAAACACAGCAGGTCCGAGACGCTGGGATGACAATAAGTGGATATTCCTATAATCAGTACTAATTCCCACAGTAATCTCAAGTATCAAGTATAGTAATAGTATGGTAGTATAGCAGTGTGTATTTTTTCTTTATCTCTGTTAGAGATCGATGTTTACAGAGTGACTCCGTGCCCTTGATCTTCATCTCATTGTGTTTTTAGCCCACAGCAGATTTACATCAAGTTTCATGATAACAAAGCAGGCGCTGGGCCAGTGGCAGGGAAAATGAGGCAGCTTCCTGTCTGAGGTGTTTGGCTAAGGTCGGCAAATTCACTGAATAGGCAGGTTTCTGCAGTGTGTGTATGTGAGAAAAACAAACGAGAGGGTATGAAGACTCCGGTCAGGTCCAACTGGGACATGAAAATAAACAGTGCCTTAAAGACATGCCGGTAACACAGGGGATCAGGGTGAGTCCCACACAAACACGATCAACTAAGTTCTAATGTTTCAGAACTTTGTGTATATCCAAATGTGAAACCAGACTCGGAAAACCACGTCTTCTGCTCTCACACTATTTTTCTGAAAGCAGGTGTCACAATTTGGTTAAACATCCACTTTTGGACAGAAAGGAGTTACTGTTCTGAGTAGAACAAAAACTAGATTTACAGTTGTGAGTATTGTTGTAAGATTTCTCTTTAATATCAATATAACAACATGGCACCATTTTTGCAAATCTATAGTTCCAAAGCTAAATTGTTTAATTGTTATTTCTTAATGTGCTCAAAATATTCTTACCAGTGCAGTGCAACATAGAGACATAGACTCATTCATTTGTGTACATTTCCCTCAATAGCAGTAGAAAAGGAAGTAATAATGATCATACATTATAAAAGGTAGGGCTAGTAAAGAGCAGCAATCTGCTCTAATCCAATCTAATCTAATCTAATACAATTTGATCTGATATAATTTTATTTAATCTAATCATATTGTGCTTTTACTTAACATCTGGCCAATAATTTCATGATTCTAATTTATTTTTTATAAACAAAAAAAAAGCTTGCAATGAAGAAACCATTTGAAAAGGCATTATCAACAAGCTGTGGTTTGGAGAAGCTGCAAGCAGACATAGATATAGCATAAAGTTCATATTGAACTGTAGAACACATGGACATCACACTAGTAAAGTGGATGGACGTGGCAATAGGTGTTACATTATTATTCTGTAGGTTAAGCAAAGTCCTAGTAAAGTGGATGGACGTGGCAACAGTGGAGGCAGTGGCAGCAGGTGTTACATTATTATTCTGTCGGTTAAGCAAAGTTTTCTCAACTGTTATCAATCATCTCTATATTTTCAGGAGCAGAACTCATTGAGAACCAGTTCCCTGAGATTGGAGTTCTCACCAGCAACCCAAGACCTTTGTCCAAACACAACACAAGCCCTGGGGTTGGGAGGTAGAAACCTGATCCAGAGCCGACGTGAGACACAGCACATTCCACACAGAACCATAACTGTTGAGTCAAATTTGAGGTTTTACTAAGAGAAAATAAGACGACCTAAATAAAATACTGCCTTTGGGTAAAATAAGATTTTGAATAAATATTTAAAGGTTAAATAATAGTAAAAACTAAATGCAGCTATGGTGTGATGTTAAGCTAAAAAGTCACAGTCATTGACTGTAATCCAGTTTAGCTCTTCAGGTAGATGGGTCCATCCCATTCAAGTGGAGAAGCTGCACATAGTAATAACTTGACAGTAACACATCCTGGGATCATCAGGGGAGGGCCCTCCCTCCTGCCTCCCCCTCCCTCCAGTCTGGACCACAGATCAAACACAGAAATACTTTAAACCCATCTGTAATGTGAGAGAGTGTGTAATTATTGACCGATATCAGGAGAACCGGGACCTGGAGCTCAGCCTGTGTGTACTCTACATTTACCAGGCTGTGGGAAGAAGTTTAGTTTGGATGTAGATAAAGGTTGTCAGAAGGCTTCGGGCTGTGTGAAAACCAGAAAGGATTCACTGGTCATCTGGACGATCTTAGAACCGTGCAGGAATCTGTGTGTGTGTGTGTGTTAACAGCTTCTTGTTTTGTTTAGAAAACTAATAGTGTTATACACTGATAAAGCAGAGCAACATTTTCACCGCAAATCTCTCACGCCACGCCCCCTCACCACAAAGAACTCTCAAAATTATTACACCAATTAGAACATCCAATAAAAAAAAGGTAAAATGTTAAAAACAGCAAGAACATAGTCTTTAAGTTTAGACAGACCTTAGCCTAAAAATGTGAACAATTTATTTAGAATTTAGCCAAAAACACCATTCAAAGAAAATGCAAGGGTAACTACAGTAATATAAAGAATAAAAATCTACACTTAAACACAAGGTAATAACAGTGACTCATAAAATAGGTAAAAGCTTAAAATTAAAAAAAAAAAAAAAAAAAGCTAAATTAGCCTTTGGTAAAAAGGCAAAAAAGCCGAGTCGTACATAAAATGATCATAATAACAGTTAAAACAGACGACTAAAGAATAATTTGCAATATTTGAATTTAATGATACGTTTAACAAACTGCCCATAACACAGACAACATTACACTTGACGATACTAAAAATAAAAGATATCCCTGATTAGGAAACTTTAAAGTATATTTTTCTGTCTGTTGTGTTCTTTTCTACTTTGTTATTTCACAGCCAGACAAACGCCGACAGTCAGTCATCATAAAACTAACAACTATTTTGCAGACGTTTTACTGTTTAACTCATATAACAAGGGGAAGAGCACGCAGCTATATTTCCAGTTTCTCATTTGCAGTAAGTGGCTGATTTATGCCTTTTATCCTTAGAATAAAAGAACACTTTTGTTGTTTGCCAACAGTTTATGGACTATTTCTCTTCACAGAATAATGAATAAAGAACACAGTGAGCAGCTGCAGGCCTGAGTCCAACACACACCATTTTTCATTTTAAACCACTTCTCTGTAGCCAAGCCAACCGTGTGGAGACAACATCCACGTGCAACTAGTAAAAGTGCTGCCCCACCGGCTGTCTTACTCTATGACCCTATAAATCACCCATAATGCACTGTGGAACAAACTGATTAACTCATCATCATTCATACACACAGGATATCTGTGAAATAAAGGCTTTTATCACAGGTATTTAATCAATATAAAGGTTTAGAGCAGAGAAGAATCAATGCAGAAAATTTGGAGGATTCTTGAAGAGAAGGTATTTTAATTTATGCCAAGACATAAATTAGGACTAAATAATACTCCATTGACCCTAGTAGACCTAACATGAATCAATGCTGTGGAGTCCAGACCACCAAGTCTTGCCCCTGCTTTATAGGAGGTTCAGACATTAGGAGGAGAAGCAGCAACGCCCCTGTCTTGTCCTCCTCCAGACACAGACATCGTCTCCTCCCTCGAACACAGAGAATCAACAAAGCTCTTGTTAAAAGCCGACCCCCTTAAATTCATTTACACAGGCCTGTGACAGAACTGGGGGGTCTCGCCACAAAAAGCTTGAACTTCACCTGAGCTATTCTTTGAACGACAATTTCATTGTTTCTTCCTGCACTTTTTTTGTTTTTAAACCTGAAGTGGAAAGCCTTTGGAGAAATCACAAGAGGAAATATAAACTTATTTTATTATCTCATAAAGATAAATCCAACGGTGAGAGTGACTTAAAACGAGGTGTGCAAACGTTTTTTTTTCCCCTTTGAGGGTGGGTAGATTTGACTGATAACTGTATAAACATATGAACAGATAGAAGTTCAACAGTCACAAAGCTAGAAACAGTTTAAAAAAAAACTTGAAACCAAATAACCAATAATGTTCAAAGGTTAGAGAATACAGAAAACCAAGAGAGTGTGACCAAGCTACAAACAAAGGGAGGCAATCTATAGTTATACTATAATTGCTAAGTCGTGGAAAATTTTAGTTATAATTAGAAATCTATAGTTATACTATAATTGCTAAGTCTTGGAAAATTTTAGTTATAATTAGGAAAAAGTGAAAGTGGGCCAAAAACAGCTAAGGAGCAGCCAAAATATAAATAATGGAAAAATTAGTCACAGCCACAAGGCTAACTGCGTTAACGAATATAAAATGCTGCCATACACAGACACAACAAAAGGTAATTATTTTTTAACGGGATCTTCTGCCACAAACCTCGCAATTTTAGAGTTGAAGGTCACATTACCATTCCCCAAGTGCCACAATTGGCCTCAGGGCCAGACTTTGGACATATCTGGTCTGGACAGGTAAAATAAAACTCCCCAGTCTGTCGTCACTGCCAAATTAAATCGGCAGAGCCTATTTTGTGTGGACAGAATGGCCTTTATTTTACAGTTTGCAGCACAGAGCAGAGCTGGGAGATATTTTGATGGTCATAAAAAGGTGAGGAGAAGAAATGAGGCAGGACGTAAACTGCCTGGAGATAAAGTCACAGAGGGTGAGAGAGTATGCAGGCCAGTCCGTCAACTTCAGATACACGGGAGACAGACTAAACAGGTCCATTAGCAGGAAGTCCACCCTCATCAGCGAGGCCTAAAATGTGGGTAACGTGGCCAAGAGGAAGCTGCATCCACGAATACAAAAGCATTGCAGTTGACTTCCTTCTCTGAGGAAAAAATAAGAACACGCAACCTAACAATGAAAGAGGAAAAAC